ACTAGACTAAATGACTTTGAGGCCCCTTCTATGATTCCATGAAATAGTATCAGAGTTCCTGTTTTTCCTTCCACCCACACTAAGTATATTCAGTTATGTTTTATGGGTTATAAAAGGATTTCCCCACTTGGCTATAAAAATGGCATCTAGATATTTTTATCAAAACCAGTTATAAAGAAATAGATTGGTTATTGGGAATTCAAAGGGATCCTATGTCTCCCACAATGCACTAGAAGCACAAAGAGCTGCGAGCCCTTTCAGCTGTTTCTATTTAAAGAGTTCGTGTGTTCCTCATGCTTGCGCAGCTAGGCAAACTTTGCCTGACAGGCACTGGAAGGTGCCAGCCCTTTAAATAGAAACACTTAAAAGGGCTTGCAGCTCCCCCAGCCTCTAATGCAGTTGCTAGAGAGTCAGAGATTCTTTTAAGTGCTCCTATTAAGGCTTGTTGCCTTCCCTGCACCTGTGAGGCAACTATTGCCCCTCAGCCCCAGGGAACAGGACAGCCCTTTAAATAGGAACAGCTGGTGTCTCTGGCAACTTGCTAGAGGAGCTGGGAGCTGCAGCCCTCTCAGCTGTTTCTATTTAAAGTGCTCTCCTGTTCCCCTCAGCTGCTAGGTAAAGCGCTGCCTAGCAGGCAGGGGGAAGGGGCCAGCCCTTTAAATAGAAATAGCTGAAAGGGCTCACAGCTCCCTGGGCCTCTGCCAGCCTTTTCCACTGTTCCTACTTAAAGGGCTTGAGCCTTCCCCACTGCTGCTAGGCAACATGTTGCCTAGCAACCCCTGGGACCAGGAGAGCACTTAAATAGAAACAGCTGTAAGGGGTTGCAGCTCCCCTCACCTCTAGCTCATTGCCAACCTGTGATCCCTTTCAGCTGTTTCTAGTTAAAAGGCTGGTCCCTCTTGTCAGGCAACAGTTGGGGGGAGCAGAAGAGCCCTTTAAATAGAAATATCTGAGCAGGCTCACAGCTGCCCTGCCTCTAGCACATTGTTAGGGAGCCAGAGACATCAACCCTTTCAACTGTTTCTATTTAAAGGACTTGTGCCTTCCCCTCGCCTGCTACCCAAGGCTGGGGAAGCGGGGAGCCCTTCAAACAGAAGCAATTAGAAGGGTTCTTGCCCCTCTCCCGTTCCAAGGCAACAAGCTAGGGGGCGGGGCCTGAAACTGCATCAGGGCCAGATCAAAGCCCTAGGCAGGCGGGATCCTTGAGAGGCTTTTGCCCATCCCGGGCTAGCTGAACTAGCTATGCTACATTGTCAGTCTACATTTTTAACTTGGCTATTGTTTGAAGTATACTTTTTGGCTATTTTAATACTGTCCTTCTCCCAAAACCATTTTAGAGGTGTCACCAACTATTAGGAATTAATATATTTATATTCCACTACAATGCACTTTTTTGATTTTCCATTTTTATTTCTCTTTGTATGCACTCACTCAGGTTTGACAGGGCAGGGATATCTCTTTTGTTTTGGGGTTTATAAAACTTTCCTTTTTTTGGTCTAGGATGGCCCCTTAGGCTGAGCCTGGGACCTACCCTGGAAATAGCCAAAGGAGCACAGAAGGGGGAAGCAAACACTGCCCAGAGGGGGGCTGATTTACTCCAGGCCCATCATCACCACCAGAAGAGGGAGTGTTAAGTCTGGTGAGCCAAAGGAGGTGCCTTACTACATCTCTTTATCCATCATGTGCTCTCACTTTCATGCAGGGATTTGGAGCAAACAAATTTGTGAATTGCTCCGCTCTGGCACCAATAGTGACTGCTCCAGCTCTGCTCCAACTGCGCTCTGACTCAAATTAATTTTTAACTAAATAAAAAAGTGCATATCATAATTTTGAAAAAAAAATTATTCAGTTTTAAAACAATTTAAATGTTATCAACAATGATACAAACTAGAATCATTCATAATTCAATCTGTAAAAAATTATTGCAGCAATCAAATCATCTTTCATAGCCTGCTGCAGATCATTTAAAATTAACTTTAAAGCTGAAAACAGTTGCTCTACACTAGCTTGAGTTGTTGGCATGCTCGAAGCAATTCTACAGGCAGCCTGAATACGGTGTGGGTAGCTGTGAATGGCCTCACCAGACTAACATGGCTACATTTCTATCACTAGTCTGCCTAGAGGAGAGGTTTTAAAGGTCCTCAGGCATCCCTTAATTGGATTAGTCTATCTCTAGTTAACCGGAGATAACCCCTTCTAAGACCTCCCTTGGCAGCAGACCGGCTTGATTTTGTCCAAGAGGCTACATGGCAGTGACACTTGGCAAATGGGAGGTGGAATAGAAGGAAATGTAGGCCAGAGCTGAATGACAAAGTGTTTAAGGACAGATTTATTTATTTTTTAATATTCTCTAGATTTTGAAGTTTTTGTAAGAATGTCCTCACTTTTCGGTATGTATATTTTAAAAAGGTTTGACTTTTTTTTCCCTTTTCAAACAGTTTTTCTTTTTCAGTGGTTTTAAAATTCAGAGAGTAGAATAATGAATAACAACATGGAATATAGTCTGGAAATTGATCTGGGTTTTCCTAACTGCTAATTAGCCAATAACTGCCACAGCAATAAAGGGATATTACTAACAGCTTCTTAATCAGCCTCCTTTCAGACAACATAGTGAGGAACAAATAAAAATTATACTGTGCTAAAAGTTCTAAGTTTCCTGTTTGTTACTTTTCTTTTTGCTGTTTTAACAGCTCACATAAAATCCTACCTTAGTGTTGGTGTGAGGATGAATGGTGTTTGACAGCAAAGTATGGTGGAGCATATGCTCTGACAGGTCGTACCAAGCTGAGAAGGTGTTGACTAGCATCCAAGGTAATAGGGAGTCTGACTGTGCTTCTATTACTCTAGGGCAACCCAGCCAAAGTAGAAAAGGTACCACAGCTACGGGGCACAAGGACTAGCACCCAAATGCATTGCTGCAAAATTATTCTGCCAAACAAGCCACACAAAGCAGAATAAAATTGAGAAACTGAGCATAGTCTCTTGCATTGGCCTGATCAATCCTCACATCCCAGGTTTGCATAGAACGTAAAACATAAATAGCTAAAAGAACTATTTGTTGCAAGTCACAACACTATTATCTGAGCCGTACATTGAAGTCAGGATATGCGATACAAGAACAAAAGACTTAATTGCACAATGGAAAAAGAGAGAGCAAGTATTCTTGGGAAGATCATCTGATAATAGACCAAGGAGTGGAGGCATTGGATTCATTGTCAGAAAAGAAATATTTCCAAGGATAATAACCGGCAACATCATATCACCACAGATAGCTTTTCTCGTGCTTCAGATATAACAAAGGAAAATAACTGAAAACTATTCAGATTTATGCCCCTACATAACAAGTGAAAGATGAAAAAATAGAACACTTCTACAAAGAGCTGGAGGAGGCAGTGCAGAAAAGATCCACCTACACAATCATCCAAGGGGATTTCAATGCAATAGTAGAAGAGTGAGAAGGAAAAGTATATGGAAAAAATTTAGTAAAGGTGTAAAATATGATCACAGAGCACATCTGGTTTGCCTCTGTCCACGCAACTAACTACACATAATGAATATGATATTTCAAAAAACAACATCAGCAATGGACATAGAAGAGACCGTTTGCAATCACACTGAATCAGACTGATTATGTATTGATAGTTATCAGAAGAATCTTCCATGATGTAGTGACAATAGAATGCATCATTTGCACAGGTTCAGATCATTCTATGTTGTGCTCAAAACAGCTGTTTTTCAAAAAAAAACCTCTGCAATTTATACATACCCCTAGAAAGTAATGGAAAGGTGAATGTGTAAGATACTGCTGTATTATCACATAGGATACATCTATACAGCGGGGCTATTTCAGGATACTGGAAATATCCTGAAATATCTATCCCGCATCTTTTGAATGAGCCTGCTATTTTGAAATAGTACGTCCACTATTTTGAGACCTATTTCAACATCCCTCTAACACTCATTCAAGGAAGGTTAAGGGATATCTCGAAATAGCGTGTTATTACAAAATTTGGCACTGCGTATCTTATTTCAAGATTAGGGTACTGTGTAGACACACCCATACTGAATGAACACACCCATACTGAATGAGGCGATCAGAAGACATACATAGATGACAGATGTAGTGCGGGGAAAGTGGAGATGGGTGGGTCATTTAATCCACAGGCAAGACAACAGGTGAACAACCTGCATTAGTGACTGGATCCTGAGAGACCAGAAACAAGTGCTGGGCAGACTGAAAATGCACTGGGTCAATTTCATGATAAAACTCTTTGGCCAGACCTGGAAAGAATATGCTTGCAATGAAATGAAACAGTATGGTATCCACTTGCATTCATGGAGGGATGGATGAGGACGAGCCAGACAAAGATGACTATTTTAACATTAGAAATCGGGGTTCTGTTACCAGAGTCCTAGTTTCACTTCTTGTATTCCAAACAACAAAAAAACGTTCTTCACTTATGTATATACAAAGTTAAAACTCTGTTTCAAGTTAAAAATCTTCATTTTAGCCATTAGTCTCATAGCGCAAAAACCTCCATCAAAATATGTTTCTGTGCTTAAATTATCACACAAAAAGAATCAGTGTCAAATCAGAATTGTCAAATATTTGTCTATCAGAACTTTGAAAAAATAACTAGTAATTTTTTTAGTTCTTGGCCTCCAGAACTAACTAGTTATTCTTGTACCTTAGTTTTAGGACCCCCAAATTTAAGGCCCCTTAAAGGGGCCTCATTTGCAGAGGATGAATGCTCAACACTTTGACTTCCCATTCTGAGACCCCTTAAAGGAGCTGTCAAATCAAATATTTGATGGCACAAAAAATATGTCACTTTTGAAAAATCTTGTCTTAAAATGTCACAATAATGATAATAATAATAATAATAATTATTATTATTATTATTATTATTATAATCCAGGAAATACTAAGAAGCCAAATTAATAAACATTTTAATTTACAATGTTGTAAAAATCCAGTTCATTATGTTAATGCAAAAGTTAGCCATTGTCAGTTTTAATATGAAGTTGATTATATACATCCTTTCATTTATTTATATAATAAAACAGAACCAGTTGTCATTTGGCTGAGAACAGACAAAACCAGAAAGATCATAAAATAACAGAAGGAAGTAGCCTAAGATATAAAATCTTTCATGGCTGTATTGCAGAATTTATCACTAAAAACTAATGTTGGCAAGCTGCCATACCACAGATAAAAGCAGTACTGTACTGTAATGTCAAAAGTTTAAAAGAAATGCAATGTATAAAATTAAAATAGATATATTGGAAAATGCTATTATGCTTTACAGAATCAGGCAAACATTTTATTTTCAAGTTTAAGTTTTTTAACATGCATCTTTACGAACTTAGTTATAGTTTTATTACCAAAATTCTCAGCAAGTTGCACAGGTGTTAGATCTCCCAGGGGGCTTTCCACATCAGCTGCAGCATTCAATAATAAATAGCAAATTCCCAAGTACCCTAAAATAAACAAAGCTGGTGAAGAGGATTTTTGAGTCCAAAAAATTATGTTAATATTATACTTACATTTGTTATATTTTGTGGAAAACCAAAATCATTTAACCTATTTTAAATATCTATTTAAACTTAAATGAACTATTTTAATTCACAAAACAATCTAAGATAACATGTGAATTCCAATATTATTGTTTTAATATTTTTTCACAGAATATTCCATCTCCATTAATTGGAGTATAAATGGAAAAAAAATCAGAATTTCAGGAGATTCCAGGGACTTTTTTTATAATAAAAGTTTAGAACATGTTCACATGTTGACACAATTGGTCAGCCTGCTTTTGTTTAAAATGACATAATAAAGATTAAAAAGCACATCATATGCTAGCAGCACAATCAAAATGGAAAGACATTCCAAATGTGCTGTGAGGAATAAATTAATGATGAGTATTTTGTGAATTTGACATCACAAATCCAAAAATGTAGTAAGTCCAGTTATAAAAATCGGCAGT